ATATATATATGTATTTTTTAAATTATATTTTAATATTTCTAAGAATTTTATTTCATTCTTATGATATTTTTTTCTTACTTTTTTTATTTATATACAAATCTTTTTAGTCTCTATATTCCTTATATTAACACTATTTTTTTCAGAACCATATAATACCACATAATACATGCTGATTTCTAGCATGTCATTCAAAATAATAATATGAATCTATAAAAGATAATAACAATTATTATTATAAATTCTATTTAAGTTTTTTTACTTTTTTAGATTTTTCTTTCTTCTTATATTTTTTTTTATTTTCTTTTATCATTTTTTTCTTTTTTCGTTCTTTATTCAACTTTTTCTTTTCTTTTTTTAATTTCTCATCTGAAGACTCATCAGAATCATCAGAATCAGAACTACTTGAAGAGGATGAAGATGATGTACTTGAACTAGAAGAAGAAGAATCTAGTGAAGAATGTGAAGCACTTTCACTTTTATGTTCTAATGTAGGTATTATAACGGGTTTTGGATGAGATTTTAAATGCTCTCTTAAATCATCAGTAAGACCACCTAACCCAATAGATGTGAAAAAATTTATCGCAAAACGAGTATTTTTAGGATCATCTCTAGGAAATAATCCTTCAAATGCATGTTGTAGTGTAATATCTTTCACTCGTTGATTAAGTTTAGATAATCCCATGTATTCAGAAAGCTCTTGAAATAAAATTTTAATAAATATTCTATTAGAACTTGTTGTATCTTCTTCAGTTAGTTTTATACAAGATAATACTTCCCATGATATAGAATCAGTAAATAATAAATGAGCAAAAAATTTTGACACATTTCGTAATTTATTTGTATCTAATCTATGTATTGTATGATATGAATCTTGAAAAATTTGCTCGAATGGTGTAACATATATCTTATTAATTGCACAAAAACGGCCAGCTAACAGTCCAAAAAATTTTTCATATGTTCTCATTTCTGCACAACAATCTAAGAACATATGACAAAGTTCAGTTTCCTGACCAGGTTTTAATTGCATTTTCATTAATTTATGTGCACATTCTTCGAAATCAAGCGAGGAATGTATGGTTAAATATATTGTACGTCTTAAAGCTGTTAAGTTTGTTTCAGTGTTATCTACAATTACACCTTCTTTCCCTTCTGTTGCAGCAGTACTACTATCTTCATCAGAACTTTCTTCTTCATCATCTTCTTCTTCATTTTCTGAATCACTAATATCTGAACCTAATATTTCTTTACTCAATTGTTTGTATTTATCTTCATTATTTATATATTCTCCATCAAATTTAAAAACATTCAATATATCTTGAGAATCTGTTGCTTCATCTAATGTTATTAAATGAGTAAATTGATTTTCTTCTTCCACAAGATCAAGTTCTTCTGCAACAGCTTCATGGTCTTTAAATCCATCTTTCCGCACTTGAAACATTACTTCAATCATGTATTGAACTCGTTTATCTAATTGTCCTTCATGTAATATATTTCGTAACATTTCAAATATAGCTTCAATACCCTTTCTTGAAACTTCCGTCAATTTCATTCCACATTCTTTTAAAAATGCAATTGCAACTTCTACAGAATCATCTGTTGGTGTTTCCACTAATAAAGTTAAAATTTCTAACGCTACAATCTCATGAGCTACTCTTTGATTTACCAAGTGTGCTATAAATGTTCCAGAAGATATGCAAAGAGGTTTATCATTTCTTCTAAAACCACGTTTGAATTGTATTATAAGACGTTTCAATATTAATTCTCCAATATTTGGAAATTTAGAATTAATAATTGCTGTGAGAGCTGCATAAACAGATGTAAATGTAGGTGATGCTGCTTGTGCTTGTATGATAGATCTAGCAAGTAATCCTCTACCTCTAACAATATTTTCTTTTAAAAGTTCTCGAGTTATAAGTCCAATATTACTGACATTAACTTTATTAATGTAACCATGTATAGATTTTTTAAGAGCTTCCCATGCAATACGTTGATATGCAGCTCCTGATTTGTCAGTTATTTCTGCCTGCATTAAACGTAATTTTGCAGGTGGTATATATGCACCACCTGTTCTTGATGTTAATAATTCAACAGTTCTATTTTGTCTTTCAATCGCTGCATCAGAAGCATTTGTTTCTTTTTTATTTTCCATTTCTTTATTTGTAATTTTACTTTCTTCTGTCTTTTTTCTATTTTCCTTTTCATAATCTCTTGTTTTCTTTATTTTATGTCGATCATGTGATTGTATTTCTTTATTAGATTCATCAAAATCATAATGTCTCTTATAAGAAAGATCCTTTTTATTATTTCTATCATCATAATAATAACGATCACGATTGCGATCTCGATCTCGATCTCGATCTCGGCTTCGATCACGATTACGTTCACTATTTCGATCTCGATTATAATCTTCTCTAGAATGTCTATGATTTTCATAATTATCTTTGTCTCGAGTAGAACGCGATCTCTTCATTTTGTAACTGAAATTTGAAAATAATGACAATAAGACATTTTTAGAAAAGTTAGAATAATAATTTTATAATTTTTTTATAATTTAATAAGTGAATAAAATATACTTACTTAATGATTTTATTGATTTTAATGTTTTAAGATTATAATTCAAGGTACTATATAAAAATAACCTCACAAATTTTCTCAAATCAAACACCCTTTCGTCTCTGACTAGATGTAATGTTATTCTGTAACTGTGTTGTCAGTTTTGTCAAAGAAATTCCCTATTATAGAGAAAGATGGCGTAACAAAACAATATATGTTTATTGCGACATCTATATTTTCTAAATTAGAAGATAACAGCATTGAAATCTTCATGCGAAAGAAAATCTCATTTTCTCATTTTCAAGAAAATGATTCTTTTTGTATTTTGCTTCCGCAAAAAAGATAATATAATATAATATAAGATAATATAATATATACACAAATGCAAAAATTGTTTAATTATGCAATTTAATAATGCAATAATTTATATATAACAAATTTAAATTAGATATATTTATACGAATATTATAAGATATTTATTTCTAAGATATTTTGTAATATTTGTACTAAATATTTTAATTTATTTTATAATTAAATGTAAAGCGTTATGCAAACAAAATAAAGTTTTTAAAATTTGCTTTTAATGATTTATCTAAATATCGATATGATAGATTCCGCCGTTAACTTGATCACATATCATGATAGAATTAATAATTGTATTTTGTCTGTGATAAATAAATATGATAATAAAAATAATATAAAAATTATATAATGTAAAATAATATAAAATTATTAAGATAATAAAAATTAAATTTAACAGATTTTATTAAGATTTTTAATCAATAGGTTAGGTAAAGAAGATAATAAAATTAATCAATCTTTTGAGCTCAAATTAATATCATTTTTAGAGTGCTATAAATTAAATACAAATATAGATAAAGAAAAAATAATAGAAGAATAGAGATAGGATAAGAATTGAAAAATAAGAAAGATAGCCAGCGCTATCTTTTAAATATTAGAAATATTTTTGAAAATAGGATAAAATAAAATAAGAATTGAAAATCAACGCTATCTCTTGAGTGCTTTACTTTATCCTAGCTTTGGAAAGATATCAAAAATTTTCAAAAGATGGCGCTAACGGTAAATTTATATTCCATTTTATTCTTCTCCTACTTATTCTTCTTTTCTACATTTGTATTTCACTTGTGATATTCTAAAAATGGCACTAATTTCATTTTTAACATATCTTTGTTCTTCTTCCATTATTTATTTTCTTCAATGTCTGATTAATTTTATTTTCTTTGATTAATTCAAGCAATGTATATATACATATAATATATATAATATACATATAATAATATCCACATAGGATTATAATAAATTGGATACAATTTGAATAATATATTTTAAAATTTATAAATTTTTAAAAGTACAATTATTCTAGATTTTAATTTAATTTTTAAAAAATTATTTTTATTTGAAATTGAATTTTGTAATTACCTTATTTAAGAAATTTTAAAATCCAATTAAATCATTGTCATTATTTAATATATTCATCATAGATTTACATTTCAAATGATAATTCTGCAGTTTAATGACTTTTTCGAATTTCATTTTTTTGTTTTCTTAAACAGAAATATGAGCGAAGATCTTATTTAATCTAGTTATTAAAATCTAATTAGAAATACCGAATTAATCAGTTCCTTGAAATTAATTTAATCACGCGAACATTCATCAAATAATATTAAATAGAAACACTATTTTTTAAATAGAAAGTTAAATCAAAAGCGAAATTAGAA